GTCTAGCTTTGAATTTATCAATAGATCCATCAGGATTCCTTTTGATCTTATAAACCCACTTGCATGGTATAGCTTTAGCATCTTTTGGTAATTTTTCTAAACTCCACGTTTCATTCTCTATCAATGATTTCATCTCTGAATCCATAGCTTCTTTCCAATTAACACTTTGCTTACAGTTGATCGCTTCTTTATAAGATTCGGGCTCTTCAGAATCAATAATAAAAGCTTCAATTATCATTATATAATCGGTTGATCTTTACATTATGGTAACTTGGCGATTTTTTGGCGACCAACTCTCCTACAGCAACCCTCTATTTTTTTTTTTTTTTTCCCGCCGCCATTTTGTCTTCACGAAGTAAAGACATGTTTCTTTTCTTTTATCTACTGAACACTTCTTCCAACAATCTACTAGCCGAATTACACTTATGCTAGAAATTTTATCTAACAAAACTGCTTAATCATGACAAATATTCACTGCAAAATTGGGAAAAAGTGCACAATACCATACTCCTTACGCGTTTTTCAAAATAACACATACACATAAACCATGTACACGTCGACTTATTTTTACTTAAAAAAACATCCCAGAATTGCACAAAAAATGGCATTGCGCACACTCTTCACTATATCCATGTACACTGCTTTTTTCTCATAAATTAGAAAAAAAATTTCACGAAAATACATGACAATTTTCTCAATCTTTAAACCCGGTAAAAAGAACATATATGAAATTACCTGATCGCGAAAAAGTATTTACCCTTTCCAAATATGAACATTTCCACATATAAAATAAATAAAATATCCAAAAACTTTTACCTCTAAATCATCTATTATATTATAAACGTCACCAACGAATTCATACCGCAAAACATTACAAATACTTAGTGTCAAATATTTAAATTATTTCCATGCACGTTTACTTCAACTAAAACGTATACCAAATTCCTACAAACATAAAATTCACAAAATAACTATCATTTAATTAAAATATAATTAAATTCAAAAACACTACTTAAAATATAAATAAGCACATACATTAAATTAATAAAAATTAGCTTACAATCCTAATTACTTTAAACTAAATCATTGCTAATAACAATTTTTCCAATAATACCAAATTACTTTACTTCCTCTTTACATTTAGAACAATGCATAAAAATAATATCCTCACATTTAGAACAATGCATAAAAATAATATCCTCACATTTAGAACAATGCATACAAATAATATCCTCACATTTAGAACAATGCATAAAAATAATATCCTCAAATAATTAAAAATACTAACTTACCTAATCTTCTTCAGAATCTTGATTACGTGTCTGATAAACTTTTCTTATTTCTGTTTCAGGATTTTTAAAATCATACTTATATTTCACAGCAAGGTACCAGGTAAAATAAATAACTTGAACTGAGTACTGCTCACATTATTACCCAAGTCCCAGGTAGTAACCTTTATCGCCTTCAAAATGTCGCCAAACTACCAGTTATGGTGCTACTTTGGTAGACGGTTGCACGGATTTTTGGCGATTTACGTTTGCGCAATTGTTGGTGCGATTTTTACAATCGTCAGCCATCTGAATTATCTTCTTCACAAAGAAACTTTTCTGACTTATCTTTTTCTGAATTTTGTTGATGTTCAGAGCCAGAAATTAGGCTATCTTGATCTTGAATAGGTAACTGCACCCTTTCTTCACAACTTGTGAGCTTTTCGTTAAATATAATACCACGTGAACAGATCACACTATTGGTTTCTTTCATCCATATTCGGTATCTTTCGTCTCCATCATAACCAATTAAATAAGCTTTTGTAGCCTTATTATCCATTTTCCTTCTTCTTTGTTTAGGAATATGGGCATAACACACAGATCCTACTATACGAAGATGCTTAATTCGAGGTTTCTTTTTAAACTATAGCTCATTAGGACTCATGCCTTCTACTGATGATTTGCCAGTTCTGTTTAGTACATAATGGCAGTGTTTACTAGTTCAGCCCACATTGCTGCAGGAAAATGAGCTTCAGAATTTGAGTACTTAAATGTTCTTGCCATTTTGATTATTGTACGTATGTCTCTTTCACTAGAGCCATTTTGTTCAGGAGAATAAGGTGCTGTTACTCTTTGAGTTATACCTTCAGAATGCAAAATAGCACGCACTTTGTCATTGTCAAACTCGCCTCCATTATCGCTGAGCAATTCTTTGACTGGATGTCCTAAAATTTTAGCATGTGCAAGCATGTGTTGTAACATATTTACAACAGCAGATTTTTCCTTGATAAAATACCCATAACGAAACTTTGTGTAGCTATCTTTAAACACAACTAAGTATCTTTTCTTCTGGAAAGATTCATCAAAAGGTACACAGACATCAGCTGGCTGAAATTAATTCACCAGGCTTGCTGGCTGGCTTTCTTATGCCAAATGGTAAACGGTGTGCTTTGTGCCAAAAATGCATGGTTCACACAATTTTCTTTCAAATGGGATGATTTTAATTCCTAATTTCTTCTCAAGCATGTTCTTAATGTGACGTTTATCTTGATGTCCCCATCTCTGATGATATAACTCTAACAAGGAATTGTCTGCTTCAGCAGCATGAACTTCTATAATTTTATCAGGCATAATAGGTTCGATAGCTGCCTTGTATAAAGTACCATATACTTTGCGAGTTCCAAAAAGCACTACTTGACCATTAACCTTTAACCAGCATTCTTTAACTGTTGAAATACATTTCGGATTTCTATTTGAATATGGGCATAACACACAGATCCTCCAAAATAAACATGTTTAAAAGCATCTTAGTCTTGCTCAAATATAATAAACCTACTTTGAAAGCTGAAATGTTTACTTGCTACTGTTACTGTAAACCTCCCCAGCAGATGCTCTACTACATTATACACGGTGCATTCCACTTTTTGTTTGTTGGACATGGAAACATCTATTCGTTTTGTAGATCTTTGGAAGTTCCAGCATCGGAAATTCTTTTCGACATAATCGAAAGTTTACTTTTATAAAATTGCTCTTACAGTCTGCAAAAAATAATAAGCGGGATCCAATTCGAAGGTTAAGGAACAACGCAATCATTAACATTAACTGAAATAGATAATTACATAATTTTAGCTTACTTCGTCCGTTATACATTGAACGCGCAGGTGAAAACGTATTCTGCACTTGCGCACACGCATATGCGCAGTAGTCAAGGTCTTACGCGCATGCGTAAATCGCCTGTGTGCATGTGCCAACGCGGTGCACGCGCAGAAAGTTTTTAGCTTTGAGGTCTGTATTATAGATCATTCCAGATTATGGGTGTCCGAATTAACGACTTTTGACTGTATTACCTTGTTAAAATTTTACACCATAAAAATTGATTTATTCTCATAATTTTAGACGACAATAACCAATAATAAAAATAAAAGCATTACTTAATTATTTTAAATGCACATGCTTATTTTTGGAGACAAATTATTTTAGAAGTTGGAAACCTTATGGTTCTTAGAGCTGAATTAAGAACACAACGTAAACAGCCGTGTTACAAATTAGCATTCACCCCTCCCGCCGTATTTTCTTCCTTTCATACCGAACCAAGAACCGGCATCTACCTACGAAAATATTTCTATCTATTCGTTGTTAAAAAATTCAGAAAAAATAATAATAAATAAGAAAAGAATAATATAAATTTGCGAATGCGAACGACAGTGATAATTCAACAAAATGAACGCAAGAGGAATGGTTGCAAACTTCGAACAAGTGAATAGGATAAATCTGCTGGATTACCAGGTTTGAACTATTACTGCCAAAGTTGGCAATGTTTACATTTACCTGGTTCTCTGCGGAAGTGCTTCCAATAGCATAACAAAATGATGCATATATAAAAAAAACAGATTCTACACAAAAACGATTTATGTCAGATATTTAAGAGTAATAACCTTTTCGAACTAATTAAAAAAAAACACTTCTAATACAACTGAAAGACTTTTCAACAAAGGAAAATAAAATTTTACATACTCCAAGACAAAAATCAGTTATTGTGGAACAACTACTGCCAATTTCTACTCTAGGATTTAAATGTGTTTTGCAAAAATGTACCTCAAATTTAAGTTAAATTCTTCAATTAATTTACTCCAAATTATATTGGAAGACGAAAATTTTAAAAAAAAAAGTTATGGTTAAATATTTTTTTTACAGATAAAGAGCACAACAGGCATAAAAAAGTGACCATAATTTTGTAAAATCCAAGATTTAATTGGGAATTCTACATATTTTGATCTAAGGAGAAAATTAACATGCTAATAAATATTCAACTATTATACAATTTCCTTAGCCATTTTTTAAATTTGCTTTATTAATACTATATACGATTTAGCAGCTCAGCTCAGTAACTCTATTAGTCTTTTTGCAAGAATCAAATTGGTGGATTCTCATCTGTCACTTTCAAGATAATGGTAAACTGGGCGCGGAGTTAGCAACGAATACGCATAGAAACAATAACTACATCAAGAAATAATATAATAAGTAGAGCGAAAGTAAAGAAATGCTCGACTTCACAACAGTTTCACGTTATCAAATGTAAGTTGGCACTGCAACAACCTAGTTTTCCAATGCAGAAGTTTCTCTCAGAAATACTGATATAACATAATACAACAGAATTTTTAAACGACAGTAGAACAGTTATGACAAATTTAAAACAACAATTCACCGATCTCCAAATGACCGAACAATAATTGATACAAAACGTGGTTTCAAAATGGCAATCTACACACAATTACACAAACAGCCGGCATCGTAGTGCCTAAAAAACAAGACAGGAGTAACAGCAAATATATCATCGAATTACCCAAAGAAAAGGCGGCATCATATATAGAGTGCGGTACAAATACTGCAACGTTACTTCACACTGATTTCAAGATAATAATAACAACGCTATTTAACCGCTTCTTAACCCTAACAGCATATATGATTATTTAAGATATTAGTATGTAGATCAGGAAAAAAATTGCAACGTACACTTTTACCAATATCTGCACCATGTTTCTATCCAGTTGACCATTTCACTGTGAACTCATTTCCACCTCAAAATCTGAACACAGTACAATTCTTTCTGTTGTTCCCGAGAAATCAAATTCACATTAACACCATTCTTAACAAGTTGAGGAGTAAAACTTAGTTCTAAGACAGAAGCGCGGCCTTTCGTCACGTGACTAGAAGTTGTAATTTTATTCAAATACCCTGAGAGCAACATAATGAAAGCCATTGTATTATTGACTGGAATGCAACTTGAATGCTTACAACAACTAAATCCATGAGTGTGTCACAATAAGCCCCAAACATAATTATATGAGCAAGAACTCGAAGTCGTTTTAGTCATTCCTTTACACACTTCAACTCGGACTTATTAACAAAGTTTTAAACACTTCAACTTCAACTTCTGTTTACTTCTTGCTGAGAAGTGAACTTGTAATCGTATGTTGTGATCAAAGTAATTTATTTAAAATTATGCTCTGTCACCAGATTACTGTTTTCATTCTTATATTTTGTATAGTTCGAAAGACTAAGACTGGTATGTTATATGCTCTCTTTCTTTATTGACTTTTGACCTGCACGTTTCTTATCGCCACGGTCGTAGGTTTGGTAAAGTGCGAATGGACTGCTGCAGTCAAACACAGAAAAGGGTTTGCGTTTTGTTTAACTGAAACGAAATGCAAATCCCCATATGTTATGGGAATTTCCATAACATTTAAGTATTTAAACATGATTTAGTATCTTTTCATATATTAATACAACTTGTAAGCTGCTGGATGAAACATTAGTTAACTGCAATTTCAGATCCTATTTCCGGAGGGTTTGCCTACGTGCAGTAGCTAACCCTCCGGTAATTAAGCTGTAGCTCATTTGGCGTCCCATTTCCTTACATCTAAATTTAAAATGCTGATTGATATTGAAATAATATAAGGTACAAAAAGACTGCAGTGGCCGAGGCGTAAAATCGCTAAACACAGTTGGTTGTATCCGTATTTCGGATCCTATCTTGGTTGCATGGGCGTTTTCGTGATTTCCATGTAACAGTTCGCCCTTTTGTGAGATGCCCAGCCTTGCGTAATTAATAACATCAAACAAACTAAGATTTAAAATGCCATTGCCTCCCTGAAAATAGAACGATACAAGAAAAGTACAAGTCAAAGGGAATTAAAACAAGTTACCATAGATAACAGTTCGTACGGTCCTTAAAAGTCCTTAATTTTGGCCAAAAGGAATAAACGGATCCTTAATTTTGCTCATTTGACATTTCTTATTCATTTCTAATGATTGCCATTCTAAGTGTGAATTACGATTTCTCATGAATATGGAATTAAAATTACACAGCTCTTAACTAATCTGTTGGCGGATTTGCATTGCAAACGATAAAAAATAAAAAAAAAACAATTAGCTACCCGAACGAAAGTATCGGTGTCTGATTGGCTATTCACGCAATCTTTCGAAACAGGTGTTATCCATAAATTTAGGCAGACTGTGACGAAAGCGTGAAGCTGGAAGTTCTTTAAGAGGCGAAAGTGATGATGAAGGTGCTCGAGAAAAAAAAAGGGAGGGGGGAGATTCTGAAAATATTTGCCAAAACTAGAGCAATTCCAACCTGGAAGGCCACAACCCTTCCGACGCCAATAGGAACGAGATGCCTGGAAAGTGCATTTTCAATAAACTGTGGCTTCATCAAGCTGACTACAAAGACTGGATATTGATGGATGGCAATCCTTAAAGCTAAATGTGGTCTTTGTCTGAAACAAATTGAAATTTCTAGAATGGGAGAGTCAGCACTGAAAATTCACATTAAAATTAAGTTTCGTTTTATCATTTCAATTTGTTTTTACACGGTTTTGCTTAGCTTAATTTCTGTGTTTGTTTCAATTAAGCCATAAATTAATTTTTTATCACCTTCTACGGAGTTTATTCTCTTTTGCACATACTATATGTATGGGATATCGGGATTATGAGTTTATTTCTGCAGAGGGTCTGTTATCGATTTCGCGGGAAATCTGTTGGCTCCATTTCGATTTTAGGTCGCCAAGGGCAAAATCGGTAACGCTAGCCTGAGAAAAAGTGAAGTTCGGAAATACGTTTTGAAGCTTCAATAGACAATTAAGTATTTGGTTTAAACCTATGTTTTTGATAGTAATGCATAATTTTTGCTAATGGCGATACAATTATTAGTTGAAAATAACTAATTAAAATTTTTTTAAATATTTTTAAAGCTGAAAACAACTAATTGAAACTAATTTTCCTGAATTAACTAGACGCAAAATTAACTTTCATGAATTACTAAAGTTATTGGGTAGAAGTTTAACTGAAAATATACATTCCGTATATATATATATATATATATATATTTATACAGTGTACAAAGTCCGAGGTCTGGACTCGTCGGGACTTCGGCGATCCTAGATTTGAGATTTTTCCGGATATTAGATCATTTTAAATCTACTAAGATGGCACGTAGAAATTATAAAATTGAAAATATGAAATCGTGATTTATGAAATAATGAAGCATTTATGATTTAAAGGGTATCAAAATTTACCAAAGAAAAGAGCTTAATATTTATATGTTTACTTTAATAAACATTTCTTTCAATGTGAGTTGTTTGATTTGTTTTCTCTGCTAATACTTTAGACTAATACTATAGACATATAATTTCTTGTTCAGTTATTAAGTTCCATTGTTCAAGTCCTGTAATTGCTGTGTCGAGAATTCCGAATAACTTGTCAATCAAAATTTTTTCTCGTTCAGTAACCTCTCTGTTACTTTCTTCACTATCGGTAGCTGTATTTTCTGGATTTAGAACCATACTACAGATTCCGCCCTCCGTTAATTGATTGATGATTGGGCATTGTCATTGCAATGAAAAACTTCTGTTTAACTTCGCTAAATTCTGCCGCCTGGTGCGGCCATGCGAGCTCTGGAGCTGGTTCTGGCTTTATGTGAATAACAAATCAGTTATTCTTAATTCAAATAGCACTAAATATAATCGTTTGTCCTATGAGTATCATTAACAAAATCTATTTTTAGCATAAGGAAAGAAATTTCTGCTAAATCTCCCCTTGTCAACATTTTAGCGCATTAAATTTAAATCTGTAATCGTATAATACTCTGTTATTTGGCATCGCTGCATGATTCATCACTCAAGTTGTCATTCGTTGATAAACATGCGGTGATGAAAGCAAAATACAATAAATAATGATTCGCGATTTCGGCATCAAGGATATAAAATATTAGTTGGTGTAAAATTAACAAATGTTTCGGTTTGAGATTATGCCAAGCAGATACGCAGCTATGGAGTCAAGTTACTAATCACACAAATTTATGCTAAAATAATTATTTCTTCAATAATGAGATATTTTATTTAGCACCAAACTAAGATTAAGAATCGGGATTTCTGGCATTTTTTTTTTATGATGAGGGAAAAAAATCTAATGCGCATGCGTAAAGCATACCCTTCCCTCCAAAAAGCTAAAAATTGGTTGGTGGTGGCTTTGAGGTCCAGATTTTAGATCATTCCAGATATTAGATGTCCGGATCTCGGACTTTATATATATATATATATATATAGTAAAAATTATATTTTCAGATATATCATTTCTTATTATATATATATATATATATACATACATATATACATATACTATATGCGATACTTAATTTGCTAATGCCTTGCATGTAATGCCCCTTTTAGCAGTATTTGCAAAACATCTCTCAGCCTTCTCAAACTTGCAGAGTTTCTTCTAACAGTATCATGAATTTTGTCAAAGCTAGAAAAACCATCTACTTCAGGAAAAGATTTGTAACCGCTAATTGAAACATCAATACGTGTAGTAAAATAAAAATCAATTCAAATTTTCATGTAAATTCTAAAAATCTGAAGTAGTGTAAAATACACTTATACATGTTTTTCAAGAAATTATGTTCCTCATTTAATGTTATCTACTTCATAACTTGTAGGGAGTTAGTTTAATTTTCAAAATTGTTTTATGGTAAGTATTAAGTTGAATTTAATAATAGTGCATAATACACACTTCTGTTAGTTTTTTAAAGTGAAATTACAAGCATGAAGTCGGTTGTATGGATAATTGCTTTATTCTATTCATTTTTTTGTTTGCTGATAGGTCCTTAATTTTTCTTTGATGGTCCTTAAAAGTCCTTAATTTTCATATAAGGAAATGTGTACGAACCCTGGATAGATTTGCCAATACAATAGGTTACATAAAACAGAATCATGCCATTTTTTAGAAAATGCCAACCTATGCATCATTTGCAAAATAGTCCATGCAATGAGGCTGAAGCAGAAAGCATTACCTGAAGATATCATCTTCATAATTAAATGTGTAGGAGGGCTGTTGAGATTTTTCAAGACAATTTGCTGTTGCGATAAAGCTGAATGGGCATCATAGTGTCATCAATATGCTGTGGAATTGTTACCAGAATGATTAAAACACCTGTGGAAGATGTGGGTCTGAATGCTGGAGGATTACCACAATGGCACACAATCACTTCTTGTTGCGATGCGCAAGATGTCATGCATCACTAGCAGTACAACAGCTGGCGTCGCATCTCTTTACTGTTCCAGGATGACCCATATCCCACCAAACTGTGTCATGTCAACTACATGAAGGGGAATTGTATGCTTGCTAACCTGTGGTTTATGTTCCTTTGCTCCCCATAACAGTTGAATTGGGCCAGTGAGCATTGCAGTTGGACGCCAAAGAGCATTGTGGCCATATGCTCTTTATGGATTTGTGATTTAACATCCAGAAGAATGATTCTCGTAGATCAATGATACGGCAAGAGCAAGGGGCACAAGGCTTACTTGTATGAGCTGGGATAGCAATGAACAGCCACGTGAACACCTAAATGATTCCTGGTGGTTCTATGGCTGCAGTTATATATTATGACAAAATTCTGTATCTTTGTATATATCCTTTTACAGATGGATGGGTATGATGAGATATTTGTGGATGATAATGCCTGCCTGCATGGAGCTCGAGTGATGCAGTTATCAGTTGTGTGAATCCATTCCACATCTTCAGTGGTCTGCTACATTACTGTACCTGAATCCCATAGAGCATGTGTAGGACATGTTGAGATGATAAATAGCAGGTCAAATTGTGCTATTGCATTAATACAGGAATAAGCGCTTCTGCCACAACAAGCAATCAGAGACATCGTTGCTAGCCTGCCTCGCTATTGTCAATCGGGCTTTTCAGCTGGGGGATTACCATACATGTTATTAACATGATGTTCCCATTGCACATTCTTCTGTTGTAATATTATGTTTTTTTTTTTTTTTTTTTTTTTTTTTTTTTGTGTGTGTGTGTGTGTAGGTGCTTTATTCTTTGTTTTGTGGTTTTAGTAATGCCATACCAAGCTCTTTGATTAGTTTAACTTGTGTCTATTAAATAGTTTTAATTTTTTCCGGGCTTTGGCGCAGTTGCTTATTTTTTAAGCTGCAGTGTATTATATATATGAATGATCTAGTAAATACCAATAGTGCAGCAGAAATAGTAGCATTGATA